ACATTGCTATATTGCTTTTGCACACGTAGATTTTAAGAAACAAGGCGTAAATAATTTTTATTTCTTGGTTCTTGGGCAGATAATATGCAAAATCCGGTAAAAAACACGATTTTAATTTATAGAAATGAGAAAAATCTATTCACGAACTTCAGCGCCATCTCCATTTGAATTATATAACTAAAATTATAATTTATACCCTTTTCGTAATATTTTTGCGATAAAAAGTAGCCTATTCGCTTTTCCTAGGTCAAAAGTATCTCTATACCAAAATTTCTCAAAAGTAGTTTCTCCGTGAAAGCGTCACAAACTAACAAAAAAACACATTGGCATTTATAATATTAGATAAAACCTTGAAAGTAGTGAAACTAATTGAAAAATATTATGTTTTTGCATAAAATTTCCCCAACTTTTCCATGAAATTAAGTTTTAATTGACATTTTTGCAAATTTCTAGTAAAATTTTGCAAATAATGAAGATATTTCAACGATAAACAAAAAAAAAACTGTCAAACTCATCACTTATACAAACCAAATGTTTTCCTCTAAAATTATTAAATTATCGAATAAATTCTTCACTTTTTCAAATATTTTGCAATATTTAACTGTGAATTCTTGCTAAAACAATTTTTAAATTTAGTCATAACACAATTATGCCATGATTATTCCACTGCAAAGAATTCACCTTCGTGTTATCGTCGCTTGCATATTTTTGCCAAACATTTCGTGCAACAAGAAAAAAACATGACGTATAAACAGTAACGTAATTTGTCGTAAATTTCAATGTTTTGCATGCGCGGCCCGTTTACTGCCGCAGCGCTATAAAATAATAGAAGCGAACGCGAATAACACTAAAAATGCGCATTGCAACTTGTTGCATAACGCACATGGTCGTCACAACGAGGAAAACGCAACGACATGTGACATGTTTTTAAACCCAGTTTCGAAGATATTATACGCATCGCCGTTTCACAAATCACAGGCATGTGATAGGTGTGATTTTCGCCTTTTAACCGAACGTGCGCGAGTGTCGTCGATTATCGATTTCTTCGTAACACTCTTAATTGTTTACCCAGAGAATTACTACCTAGGTGATAATTTCGACCGAAGGCTGAGTCAAACAATGACGCTCGGCTATAACTTTCCAAGTTTTGTTTGTTTGCTACATTTTGGACGACAATTCTAATGATACTCGCCCTGGCACATAAAAAATATTTCGTTGCTTTTTATGGTTTCGTTTTTAGCATGAAAATATGCACGTGGCTATGTCACACAACACAAAAGTTTATTATTCATTTTTTCATGACGAGTCGAGGCAGCGCGAGCGCTCCGATCGAAGGCCACTTATTTTCATATTCTATTATCTTTTTTTATGAACAATTTACTTAGCTATGCTCGGTAAAAACAAAACTTTCCACAAACGACAACATAATGTTTGATTTTTTTTATACCTGGAAGTAAATATGGCGCCGTATTAGGCGCCGGCTTCCAATAACCGGAACTGATAGCCGGATACGAGGAGCCGGTGTGATTATTGTTGTGGTTGACGTTCGCGGCGGGCGGCAGCTGATTGTAGTGGTTGCCGTTTGTGTTGACAGTGGCGACTGTGGTAGCGGGGGCGGCAAGACCCTCCGAGGTAGTGATGGTGATGCTGCCATTACTGTGGCCGCCGACGCGATTCTTCATCTTCGTCATTAACAAAACAACAAAACGTGCAAACACACACAGGCCACAAACAACACACACAAACACAGCAATGTGAGAGTGAAAGAGACAATTGACAAAACTATGTGCGACAGAAAAATTGTTATCACAAACACAAGTAGTTATTAAGTCACGACATAACGACACGAACAGAAATTTTTTTAAAAACTTTTACGTTTTCATCTCGCTGCTCGCTGCAAAACTGGCCAAAACAATCACATCCATCACAGTTTGTTTTTCTTTACGTGTTTATAGACTTAAGTCACACCTAACCAAAGTTTACGTCTAGTTGAGGCTTAAGTGTCAATATATTCGGTGGTGCGCAGACCGTCTGGAAGCGCGACGCACGCCAAACTGAACGCGCCGCCGCGACTCATTTCGTTTCGTCGCGCCGCTGCACGCACACCACTCGCGCCATCGCGACGCGCGTCGCATACAAAACGGAAAATGTGACGCGTCGCGCATACATCACGCATGCAAATGATGCACTCGCAACGCACCACGCACACACAATTCACACACGAATTACACGATTGTTACACGCTGTGCTTTTTTCGAAATTACAACATTATGAAAGTTTCACCTAACCTTCAATATATTCAACGTATGCAACCAAATCTACACAAATTTATTTTTTGTGTTTCAATAAACGCGTGTTGTCAATACGCCGCGCGCGCAACGACTGCGCTGCATTTACGACTAGATGCTGGTCATACAAAGGTATGTAGGTAGGAAATGCACACAAACATTTTAGAAAACGTAAGCAAAATGTCCGCGACACTCGGGAAAAGTAGGAAACACAATCAACGAAAACAAAAGCCACACAACTACAACATACAGCACTTGACTTGACCACGACGATCAGCAAGAAACTTAATAGATTTCTATCTCGCGTCGTTCGCGCCCAGCGAAATAAAAATAATTTCCGCACAAACGCCGCGTTTGCATTATTAATCTTTTCGCTGACGTAACGCTTTGCACATTACTCAAGTGTGTGGATATTGTGGCGCAGCCTCAAGTGCAGTGACTCGACATTCATCGACCGTGATATTGATGACACAAGCCATTAAAGCCATCACACACATCACCGCCGCGCCATCTCGTATTCAAGAGTTCAAAAATTTTTATTTTATATTCATCGAATCAATTCTTTTGTATTGGGTGTGTTTATTACGGTAATAATAATTTGCGTTCGGCATGATTGCGCCGTGCGTGTCGTAAAAATCGCAGCGATTTGCGGTTTTGCAAGCGAAGACGAGCAAATAATAAACAAAAGTGATGATGGCTTCGTGATTAGTCATGCTTGTTTCAAACAAAATGCATAATTACAACCATTATTCTATTCGGAACGAAGAACAATTTTGATTAATAAAATTTTGGACTTTGGAAGTCAAATAAAAATTAAAACAATAAAAACGATGGGAATCTATGAGGTATGAGTCTGCTATGCACATGCAGGTAAATCGAGCGCGCAGTGCAGATTGCGCTTCACCTTGAATTTAATTAATTTGTCGATTCAAATGGCAACATGCGCAACATGTTCCATGCATGCCGGCGGTACAGCGTTTGTGCATTTTAGACGATATGCCATAATAAACCGACGGATTGATGGGAGTTCTAATGCGATGGGATGTCCATCATTCAACATGCTTACTAATTATATACCAGGTGTTCACAATAAATACATTATCCGCATTATTTTCGATATGCCGGTGTTTTTATGCTATGATAAAACATTGTGTATAGTTTTATGTTTATTTACTTCTGTCCAGTTCAATTCGCGTCCATTTGCGAGCATTTGTGCAGCGCAATGCAATGCAATGCGCAATTCTAAACTCCTCGTCGTGTAATTACATAATAATCGATTCGATCGGTGCGCTGCGGCAAGGTGAGTCGCCGTTCCGTTCGTTTCTAACTGTCGATCGCTGTGTGTCCGACCGTTTTTGCCTCTGTGCGCGAATTCGCGGATTCGCTGGTGACTTGCAGCAGCGCGCACGCACGCTAAAAACTGTAATTTTGCAAACAAACACACAGCGCACACAAAACAAAAAGCATTCGACGTTGAAACGGTCAACGAATCCAAATCAAACTGCAAAAAATCACTAAAACTCAAATGCGACAATACCAATACTACTACTGCGATTTTAAATAATGTTGTAAAATTTATAAATTAAACGCTGTGCAAATGCCTCCTTCGCACAATGTCCAACGCCCTATTCTTGCCTTCAACTTTCCGCACCTTTCAGGCGGAGTATAAAATAAAATTTACAACCAATTTACTCGCCCCGCATTGCATTGCGCCACATTGCACACGATGCACACGACTCGACTATACTGTACGAGTATAAGACATCCATCGTTCGGATAAATCAAGTCGTGCCCATGTCTTGCGCGCCTCTCCCATATTCTCATTTACTCATACAGGAGCTACCGGTTGCAATACTGCCAACACAAATACAACTACCAACTTTATAACTTTACGCTAAGATATGCAACACATTTTACATGTTTGTGTGTGAGGCATTGTCTAAACTCTAAAATTGCGATCCAAGATGCACACACGGAAGCCTCCCTAAACATTCAAGCCATCGTGAAGATTCAACAAGCTTCTAACCTTCGAGTAAATAGCGAACAAAGTTGTGCGCGCCGTTCGTGTCGGACTAAACTAACCGACTAACCAACTTAATTCGTACGCCAACAGGCCATAAATGCAAGTAAACGCAAGTAAATACCTTCGCACCGTGTTACGACCGATGTTAGAAAGTTACACTATGCATTTACTCTGCATACGTACATATAATGCACCATAATTAGCATGGAATTATAATTTTATAATTTTAAAAATGAAAATTTTAAAAGATAAAATCCGGTTCTGATTTAATTTGTTTCTTGACTTGCATTGCGACAATACCAACCCAGCTAGGTCACACAAATTGATTGCACAAGATTGTCACGTGTTTCACTTTGCTTCCACATTTTCTTCCACCTTCATCTTGCGACGAGCAATGCATAATGGAGAACCGAATGGAATACGAATGAATGTCGCACCGGAAGCGCAGAGTCGGACTCCAAATATAATTTTTCATACAAATAAAAAATAAACAAAAAGTTTATATAAATGCAACACTGTAGAATAGGATAAATACTACGCAGTAGACCTATTCGGACGAATGGAAAACGTCGCACAAAGCGCTTCCGGTGATGCGACTCTGTGTCCGTGAATGTAATAATTTTCATTTTCATTCAAGTGCATCATGTTTTTTTGTTGTTGTATATGTCAAATTTAACAAATGTACTCACCATTTCGATTTTCACTATCAGCCGGTTTCATCTGGATTGGATGATGCATCTGCAACCCAAAATACATTTCATTATAACTCATTCGAATAAAAATGTAAATCTGGAAAATTTTAAATCAATATTTAACAAAACGCAATAAGTACGCAAAGAAATAAATGAATTTCGTTTCAGTCAGCCGTTTGATTGATTGATTAATGAAAGTTATAACGAAGCACATAAATTTTTCTCCGGCGCGCAGTAAGAAAAGGTTCAGATTTCTTCGTTTCGATTTTTTTCTGGGCGATTTCAACCCTCCTGCGCACTCTTGCCGGTCTGTCGGATTGTGCGATTATTGCGCATTTCTTTCACTTCAATGATTACGAATTACGTTTGCCGACGCGGACAAAAGTCGTAGTTGTAGTCGCGGTATACTTGGTTGCCTAAAACGCAGCAAGGGAAACCAAATTGATTTATGTCTTTTAATATCTAAGACGTCTATTAATACATCAATTATGATTGTAATCCTGCGCCCGTTTCGCTACTAAGCCCATCGGCTTACGCCGTAGGCAACCCAGAGTACAACTACATCGTTTCCTACAGCTCCAACAACGCGCCGAGCGCGAAATTCGTTTCGACATCTTCCCAAATGGATTATTATCATTATCATCTCGATGGTATTAATAATATTAATTATAGCGATAACTATAAAGAAAGTTTTTATGAAGGAATGCATTGGAATTGTCGTTTTGTGATAAAATGTAATGATGATGAGCTGATGAGCTTGCAAATCGTAAATTGCTCGCGAATTCACATTTAGCTCATATTAATTCATCACGCACTAGTGCGGCACGGATTTGTGCCGATTGATTTACCATTTCAATTCAATTCACCCACATACGCAATAAATTCAAGTTTTGCTGGCGATGCATTCACGCTATGCAACCCAACTTACATTTAAAACATCTAACCTATTTTTAACGCTCCGAGTGTGTGATAAATGTAATAAAAGTCAACGTTATTAATTCTCCACAGACTCGATTTGAAAGGCTGTCAATTTTATCTCCCACCTGATGCAGTTACACACTCTATACGATATTCGAGCGACTTTTACGTCATTTTGCTTCTTTTCACAGCGTAGAGTACGTGGGTGGACCGATGGGGTGGTTTAAGATGGTGGCGGCGGCGTCGAAATGGTCTTTATTAAATTTGCGCCGCTAGTTGGGAAATTTACGGCGGCGACGACACTCGACGATCGCAAATCGAATCAAAAGCGGCGCCGCCGCCACAACACTCTCACTATCTAATAGTCGTCGACGATGAATCACGAAATATCGCAACATTTCACACGTACATCTCATGCGCAGCCAACAGGTGAAAGAAAAAACGCAAGCAAAAAAATTGACTTTCAGAGTGCGTTGAAGGAATATAAAATTCGATTTTCGTCTCGAAATCATATTATATTGAATCATGGCGTCAAAAATAAAAGCGAGAAAGTTTTTTTTAGCTTTTTTATCTACTTTTACATCCATTAGATATTGAATACGGCGTTGGATGTTATTGATTTAGAAGTGTGACAATTCCAATTCGATGCGTAATATGAAACGTATGAAACGAATAAAAATTCCAATTGTAAACACAGTGTTAAATGCGGCTGGTATGGCAATGGCATTGATGACGAAGTGTAATGCAATCGGGCTGATAGCCATGGTGCACCGTGCGCACTCTGTGACAATTGCGTGTGCAATGCGATGCCGTTCTGGCAGGCAAGTGCGCAAGAGAACAATGCAATTGTTGTCGCAAAGCCTACAAATTCGCCAAACACTCATGGATCGCGTTACCTGCGCTGCCACCATGCGAGTCAATTGCTATTTTGTCTAACAATCACTCAACTACTATGAAGTATTAATTTTTGACTTGTTAACTTATAAATTTATAATTTTAAATTTTTAAAGAAAATTCTTTTTTACGTTTTGAGCCTGTAAAAATAATTTTTGTAATTTTAACTTTTAACTTTTCATGCAGACATTTTTTGCATGTTTTGAATTCATGCAACTTGTTTTGTGTGGGCAAAAATCGAAACGTCGACGCGTTCATTCTTCATTCCTTATCTGGGCCGGCGGCGTCCAGTTCGCACCCTTCCCGTGCGGCATGATGCTCCATGGCTATCGTCGCATTGTCATGCATTGTCCGCTTAACAACACGCGCACCGCCAGCGAGATTAAATTGACCCGCCACGCTCGAATGCTCGATTTTCATCCAGCACACATTCGGGGATATATTCACCTGGATTCAGTTTTTCATTCGTTGATATTCGCGCTGCTGGTTCATTCAACTTTTCGCATTCATCGTGTATTCGACGGCGCGATAATGACCAGTCTGGGGGCTGGTCGACTGCGGCGTCAATTCCAATGAGGACAGCCTTAATGCAAATTAAGCCAGTTGGGCGTGCAACGATGGTGGCGGCGGTGATTATTCAAATGATTTTCGAATAAATTTTTGCGAGAGATCACAAATTTTGGCATAAAATATTTTTATACAGGGTAAAAAGTAAAAATAATTTTTTTCCTCAAAAAAATTCTAAAATTTTGTTTTTGATATTCTCTAACTTCCAGGATGATGTATGCGTTGAAGAGCATAAGTGCACGCATACATATATTCATATAACTTAATAATAAACCATCCATTACTCGCCGGTGACCGAAGCGTCAGGCCCGCAAATATAATGCCCGCAGCAGCTCCGTTTTGTAGTTCAAGGTGAGCGATTACTCAACGCCATATTAACGCACATACACATGCGCACGCATACCAATCCGCAGTGCATCTCACACAAAGAACAATTCACAACAATGTAAAAGGTAATGTCAGTAATGTGGATTCAATGTGAATGCGAATGCCTCGTAATTTGTATGAAATTGTGTGCGCATTATAATCCGAGCCGTAATCATAATATTCATCACAATCAACAATTCAACTGATATAAATGCACTGGCCAGTGGCAGTCATTTTCGCGCAATTATAATCAAAAATTGGAAAATGGAGCGTGCGCAAAATAATAACCAAGGAGTGAATTGAGTCGTTTCAGATATGCCAAGTTGAAAACATGGAAAGTATTAAGTGTGTTAATGTGTTTTTCTAAATAAAGAAAAGGGGAATTTTCTGTTCAAGTATGTATCTCGTAAAAGTGCAATTAATTGCAAAATTTACTAAACAACTTGAAAATATTTAGTTTTATGCATTAATGAGTAATTAACTATCATAAAAACCCATATAAGAAGACACTGTCAAGGTCAGTGCATAATAATATGGCGTTTTAAAGTTAATAATAAAAAAATTCAAATTTAAACAAAACTATTCGTTCAGGCGAAATGTGTATTTATATATAATTAATTATTTAAAATTAATTATTATATTAATTATTACTTGAATGTAATTCTGGTTTATTAGTAAAATAAGTGAATTTGAGTGTGTTTGTTTGTTTGTGTCGCTTTCAAGCAAAAACTATGGAACAAAATTTTATAAATTTTGGTATAAAAATACTTTTAACCTAGGAAAAGCAAATAGGCAACTTTTTATCGCTAAAATATACCTACCTAGCTAGAAAGACGGAAAATATGAGATGAAGGTTGCTATTGTGATTCAATTATAGTTATAGTTACGTAATTCAAATCGAGATGGCGTTAAATTGCGTTATTAACATTTTTCTAATGAAAAAACGGTTATATTATTAAACCGGCCTATAATCTGCTAAATATTCATAAAAAATACAATATATTGTTGAAAAAACCTGGCAATTTAAATATAACATTGAAACCGGACGCTTTTTAAATGTATGCCCACAATAAACTAATTTAAAGATGCGATGCGATGAGATAAACGTGATATACAAATTGAAACACGCGACAACGTCGATGAATAAAACGCAATATCGAATAAAACAAAGCAGACAAAGGAAACAAATGACAACGATTCACAATGCGACAATTGTCTGCGCTGTGCCATTGTCACTGTTCGTCACACTGCCGTCTGCAACTGCACTCAACTCAACATTCAACAAAAGATTTCAAAACGCATTCCCAAGTTAATATCATATCACTAAACCAACAAAAACCGCCTGCACTAATTTTATTTTATTGTGTTTACCCTAAATACATCTCAATATGTCTCGTCAGTCTAGCGTGGGTGTGTGAATGTATCCTATTTGCTCCCCTGACGTGTCGCATGCGAAATCTATCAGCTCTTCTCCCCAACAACCCACACCGCTTCTGCAGCTTCGTGCAATCATCTCCCCACGCGCCCGCCCTACCGCTGCAATCCAGAACTAGCGAATTCCGGCGACGTCCCGTTACGGGATTATAAATCACGGCACGCGGCACGCACGTCAAAGCGTGACAAATTAACCCGGCACTCTACGGCTTGCAGTGCGCGCACGTACCAGACGTACTTAGACTTCTATCTTCTCTACCTGTAGAAACTTGAAGAATTCAAAGATTTCTATTCTGCATTTCAGAGAGTGAAAGAGTGAAAGCAGAAAACACAAGAGACGTGTCCTAAAGGAGCAGCTGGGGTGTCCTTCAAGTCCCAAAACTATACCGTCCCAACTTCACGCACCGCCAACGCGCACGACATTGAAAGATTCGTTTCGTAAATAGCAAAAAATGGTGAATTTTATTTAAATTTCGTTGTTTTCGTTCAGCGACAATACGAAACATCAGCGTGACTTGTTTATTTTTAGTGTATGTGTGGTTGCCTATAGTCAGACACCGTTCGGTGGGATTTCTAGTCGTAGTCGCAGCTGCGTAAGCTACGATACAAATTCATAATTAGCGCCCGCGTGTCAAACGTCGAGTTAAAACTAAAACTTTCAACGCTCCGGCTGAAACTTACATACACCAAACTTGTAATCATGGGTGGGTGGGTGGCGGAGACGCATGTGGCGTGAAAATAACAATTAATCGCGCCCCGACGCGGTCATTTTTCACCACGTGTCACATCACGCCGATGAAAAATGGCGGCGCGCAATTTCCGCCATTTTTCAATCGAAATATTTCACAAGCAAATCACAAAAAAACACGTTGTTAGTAATGAAAAAAATCATCAAATGTAAAAGATAAAAAATAAACAACAAAAAAACTAACAAATACCGCACAAAGAAAACAAATATGCAAAAAGGGAAAAAAACATTTTGAAGACATTTTGAAAGAGACACTCACCCCCTCCAGCGTCTTGACATTGTGCAGTGCGCCCTGTGCCTGCAGGGCCGCGTTGCGTGTGAAGAACGTCACGAAACAACAACCTGTAACAAAGAACACAAAGAAACGATAACGATAACGCATTTTAAACAATAACACACACTCACACACACACACAACACACTCAACACGCACATAAGAAACATTTAGTAAAAATATCAAATAAAGTAAACGCAACAAACGCAATATGGACGCACATAATACATGACAGTTAAATTGTGAATGTACACACGTAGCGCCATCTATGATGTAGTAGTGCATAAAGCTTAGCACGAAAACGCATAAAATGCAGTTTTATACGCGCTGCGTGGGGTGAAATTTTCGGGCATGGATGCGACAAAAGTCACCTCGGGTTTAAATAATTAACGCGCGGTTTAACGACGGCAGAGGGCACTTAGGGAGGCGGCGTAAAACGTGACGTCGCATACTGATAACGCGCACTACTAAAAAAATGATCACGCGTAAAAAATGTTATGACTTTTTTCACTTGGAGAAAGTGCCGCTTAAAAAATTAGTAGCAAAAGTTTTGAAACTTTGTTTACACTCGTTGGACTCTTAGAGTTTAAAAGCACACATTTTTTTCTTGTTAGGTTAGTGAGTAAGTAAACAAGATAGAAAAAACTAACGTGAAAAATAGGATAATGACCTATTACGGTCTTTTTTCTGATGTTTTTTCTTTCGTGTGGTTCTTGTTAGGTTGTTTGCTTGGAGAGCGAGAATGCGGGTTTATAACTCGGACGTTACACGACGCGACGAGCAAGGATTTGTTGTTGCGAGGAGTATGCGGGTTGCCTACACTACCACAGGCGCCATACCACTGCCAACGGAGGCGGATGGCGAGCCAACAAGGCAACTTTTTAATGATTTATTAGAGCGTTATTATGTTGGAAGTTCATCGTTCTTCCGCTTTGGAATTCTTCAGCGGGAAAACACCAAATAACGTATCAAATTACACACTTGGCAATAAAAGTAATAAAATAAAAGTTTATTTTTTAGGAGGAAAAGTATTCGATAGCCAATAAAATCAAATAAAAATAAAAACACGCGTTGGAAGATTGTGAAAGTCGTGGAAATGTGAAAAAAACGTAAAAAATTGCAAATTGACTAAAACTAAACGTTTTTTTCGCCGACGCTTTTCGTTTTCCTGCCGGCGATTTATTTTTACTTTTATTTTTCGAGACGTGGTCGTAAGGTCTACAACGGTGGAAGAACAGGAAGAGAAAACGAAAGGACATTTAGCACAAGTTACGAGCGCGTCCGCTTTATTTAGATGCAGATAAAAGTCCACCACTCGCAGAGAGCAACGCGCAGCGGGGCGCAACAAACGAGAAAAAATCAAATTTAACGAATACGAATATGCAGGACGTGACGCTTTTATTTTTTCCTCTCCCGTACATTTGCAGCCCTTAGTACTACTCACTCATGTTGAAAGAAAAAACATTTTTCACAAATAATGTAATAAAACAAAAAAGTAGATTTTGCAATCACTAAGAACCTTAACGACATTTTTTGCATTTTAAAAATCTGTTCGCAGATCGTAAAAAAGACGAAAAGTCTAAGAATTTGCTTGACTTGAGATGAAGCACAAAAAAGAAACCGAAAAGTATGATGAAACACGATGATACGCACGAAATGATGAAAAATACGAGGCAAAAATGTAATTTGCGTGGGGGGCAGAGGACTCGGCGTGCTCATCTTTTTATTTTCCTTTTGCAAAACACGAACAGCACAAGGAAAACACGCTGCTGCTCGGCTGGGAGAAAAACAACGCGCACGCGAATAATACGCGAGGACAAAAGGACGAGTACAAAGCGCGCGCGCGCGCCAGTGACGCGCTTAATAAAAATAACAATAAAGAACATGAGAGCCTCACAGCAGAGCGCAAGCATGTAACAAGTGACTGTGTCGCAAACAACAAACAGCCGAAAAATGTAATTTTCAGAGTGAGTGAATCACTAATATAACCACGTCAAACAGAAAAGAAAATCTGCACAAAAAAAAATTGCCCGCAATATAAAAGAAAAAAACTTTTTTTGTAAATAATAACTTGTTGCGTTTTACTCTAACACCCTGAGTTAATTTTTGGACTTTCATTAGGGTTAATGCAAAAACGTAGGAAACAATGCACGGAAATGTCAAAAGTCTCCAAACAATAAGATTTTTAATCAGTGTTAAAAGGTCCGACAAAAAATCACAGCGGAGATTTTAAATTTTTCACAAAACAGTTTTGTATTCCGTAATCTTAGTTTTGCAACTGACGGAAAAGTTGAAATTCTTCCTGACTTTGGCCATTTAGGGAGTAATCCTTTAATTAATTTAAGTTTTAGTTTTGCACTCTGCTACAGCGCCAGCGGAACAATTCGTCTTTTACTTTTAGACTTGCAGACTGGAAACAAAACTTTTTGCGAAACTATGCACCACTCAAAAGTCAAACAGGAAAATCTTAAAAGCCTCGGCTGGAAAAGTAATTGATGGTGTATTAACTATCAATTTAATCCTAACTTCAACTCTTCCGGTTTTCCTCTTATCGCCCGGCTCTAATGCGAAACAAATTTGTTAGCAAGCCCGAAAACAAGCAATCGCGCACAACCCTCCTCTGCGTTTCGTGTAAGGCGGATTGGATAATTTATAATAGAGCAACAAACGAGGGCAATGGCGGAAAACTGGAACTAAAACCCGATCTCTTCCCCTTCCCCGGCGCTGACTGCGTCTGGATGTGCTTGACGCTCGTCGGCGCGCACTAATTAGACACGCCAAAAACGTGATTAACCAAAAGCTACACAACAGCATCTCCCTCTTGTAGAGGCGTCTCGTTCGGTTAATTTGTAAACGAAATTGGGATCATATTTTAAATTCCGCGAGAAGCTAACAAGAAACCCTCGAGTATATTTTATATAATTAATTATTGCGAATTGCAATTTCTTGAAAATTTACACCACTTCTAGCGCCATCTGTTTACACAATGGATACACTTAACCTGTATTTTTTGACCTTTTACTAATTGCTTACAAAACGACACAAAGGATCATTCAAAGACCATTTCCAGCGGGTTTTTTTGTGTGTCGCAAAACGACTCTCATTCCTCCAAGCACAAAGCGCTGGGGAAAGGAAGCGCGGAAACGGATGTGCCGATCACTACTGCAGAGAAGTCCGTCCCGAGGAGTCAAACGATGAAAGGACCTGCCGAGTCCACGTAAAAAATAAGAATCGAGTAGTCTTTTACCAGCGCATAGAAAAGCCAGAGACAGGAAGTCGACTAGAAAATCCACTTCCTCGGCTAGAGGAGAGCACGGGATGACGAAAGGACACAAATGAGGATGAAAGCATCGACAAAAGGGCTCGCAAGATGGAGTGCATGAAGAGCAAATCCCATCAAACAACTCTCGACCGACAATACCAATGAAGCCTACTCGCATTCACGTCGAATATTTTTTTGTTAAGCTCTCTTAGATGACCATCAGGATCATTAAGTGTTGTCGCAACATGAAAAGGACTCAGACTGTTTGTTTTCCTTTGATTCTTAGTGAACTCTGTTTTATTTCTCTTTTCTTTACTTCCCCAGCAAAGGAAAAGCTTGGGATTCTTTGAATTAGTCGCAGACGAGTCATGACATCGTCTAGACTTATTTATTTGTTGATTTACTGACCCTGCAAGATGCCTAATGTAGGGAGAAAACAAAAATCGTGCTCATATTTCAAATCACGATACTGTTTCGAGCGAAATAAGTTGCTGAAACTTTTCTCTCTTTGTGGCCTGAAGCTGGCAGGCGGGGGCGCCTTGAAAATATATAAAGATTTAGTTACTCGTAATTTTTCATATCACTTTTTGTTTGCTGTGCGCCGGCGGGCGTGTTTGCCCACCTTGCAACTGATGCCAAACGCTTGCGGAGTAGAAAAGCGAGAAGAGTAACGGATGCTTTTCGAATTACTCTCGGGCGTAAATGTTTGTTTGCGTTGTAATGAACGAGCCGCGCGAGCGAAAAGCATGGAAGACAAAAAGCGTCGACCAACTCGTGCACGACGCCGAAAAGAAACTGTTTTAATGATTCGTTCATAAAGAAGCAAATATTTGCGCTGAAGGCATTCCGGACTCGCTTCACTCTACCAGCTCCAACACACTGCACCGCTCGGTCGATTTTTCCTCCTCTCTGTGTGTGTGTGTGTGTGGGATCTGTTTGTTTGTTTGCACGCGTCGAGCGCGCAGAGAGACTAGGAAAGAAATAACAGCAGCCACACCACTACCAACAGCAGTATCACGATAGTAGAGTATCAGCATCAGCAGCAACCTGTAGCGCTCCGTTTTGGCTTCGGCTCTGGGGAGCCCCCAAGGTTTCAGATGGTTGCTATGAAGAGACGCGAGTGTGTAGGGGTGGAGGGCAAAGCCAGCACGCTGATCGTTGATGTAATTACTGCTTGCTTACGGAACAGTTTCCGCAGTCTCTTCGGGCTCATCCGCATCGCATCGCGCGCTGCATTAGGTATAAAGATAGACACAACCGACACACGTACTCTACGCACATACTGTGTGTTTGCACAGCTCTCAATTACGCACGCCGCGATGCCTTCCAGCGCGTGGAGTACAAGTTGCCTAACATTATACGACACTCATCAAACATAACCAACTTCCGCTTCTATTTTATACAAAATCAACAATTGATTATCAATAGAATATAATTTTATATTGAGTAAAATTTAAGAAAATGTTAATTTTCAGGTTTTTAGATTGAATTTTATGTTTATATTGCAAAATTTTAATTTTGAGGACTTTAAACTTTAATTATTACCATCAATAACTTTAAAAAGTGTAAAAATTTGTTATTTTATACAAAATCAACAATAAATTAGCATTAAAGATTTTTTCGGATAATTTTTATCGTATATTGAGTAAAATTTGGTAAAAATATTTAATTATGATGTAATTTTGATGTTTTTAGCCTGAATTTTAAGCAAAAACCATTATTTCTTGCCAAATTTTAATTTTTAGACTCAAAACTATAATTAACCCTTTCAAATACCGCAAAACAAAGTAAAAAATGAGTTTATAAATTTATCAGAGAGTTTTGTGTGTTCATAGACTGCCGGTTGTCTAAATTATTTATTAGGAAGCTTCTGCGTTCACGAAGGAGGTGCGAGGGCGCACATAAGAACGCGAGCAATCTGCGAAAAGCCAATTAAATTCCGATCTTTATTATCCGGCGAGGCGCACATCAAGCGGCGGCATGAAGCTTCCTCTCCTCGGCGTAAACCGCCAAGCTTTACACTCGCAGCGAGTCTATGGCGACTACATTTTACTCCGAGTACTCTACTACGCGGTCGCTTTCTTAAGCGCAACCGCAAGCGATAAATAATTCACGCTACGAAAGGAACAAACGAACAAGTCGGGATCTTGAAGCAATAAACAGCGAAGAGGCGGATATTTAATTGGTTTCTGCACAGCAACAACAACAACAACCGGAACATTCAGTTGTGAAAACAAAATTTAAATCAAAGATTATATTGAAGACGTGAAAATATTACTCTTCATGCAGTATAGTAAGGTTATTCGTGACTTCAGGTTGAAGATGATGCAAGTAGAGATAATCGCGTTACTCACTTTGGAAAAGTCAGAAATATCAAGACGATAAAAAAATAATCATCCATCCCCAGGGTGGAGACGTCGAGCGAAGAGAGCGCACGCAACAAGTCGAAAAACAAAAGACGTCAGACGAGACGCGAGACAAGACGTCGGATGGAATTACAATTTTCTTTATTAAATTTATTACATTAGAATAACACCCCTCAAAACGCGCCAGACGAACACAAACCAAACAAAACTCAACCGGAAAAAAACAATAAAATATTAGTAAATAGTTTTTCTGTTGAAATTTATTAATTTTTCGAATGGAACCTAGTGATTTATATGATTGTTGATGACTGGGAATAAAATTTGCAACAAAATAAATAATTCCGATTCGGAAAATTTTAATTTTCTCCCGAAAACTCCGGAGACTCATCGAAATTCCGCTCGCGACTCTCGCAACTCATCGCAAGTTATTTTATGCATTCATCAGCGTTTTCCGCCCGCGTTGTATAGCGCCAGCGTTCGTTTTTCGGCAGAGTCATCATCTCGTAAAAATTTATGGCCGCGCCATTTTGATGACAATACCAACGTCGCTGTACACTTGAATCCGGTACAATTTTTGATTCTAAATGCGAATTTGCGCACAATAAAAATGGCGATGATTTAAATTCAATTCGGCACGCTTGAATTCGATTCGATTTGATTTGATTTGATTCTAGTCGCTCGAGTGGACTAATTGCGAATCGTAATTAACCGAAAATAACGACTGTCAATCAATTGGTTAGGTTAATTCGCTTTTATTTCAACCCGCGGGCGTTTTTCGGGGGTGTCTGCTAAATCTGACGGGTGGGTAATTTGACAGGCGACACGTCAGAAAATAAATAAAATCGAATAAAATCATAAAAATGTCAATTATTCAAGGGATATTAGACGAGGATTTGTCATGACGAGATAATACATCAATTTAATTATTTTTATCAATATCTCATAAAATAATCGAGATAAGGGAAAATTCTTGATTAGATAGATTAAGAATTAAATTCTGCGTTATATTACGTAAAGATTTTGTTGATTTAATATTTGGATAAAAAGTTAGAAGCATTTAAAGTGAAATAATTGAAAAAATCATAAAATTTACTAAAAATGCTTTAAAACATTGAAAAAACATTGTTTTATGCAAACATTGTTTACAGGGTAAAACAACATTTAATGCTTAATGGATTTCCACAGAAATCAATTAGATAAATTGATTGACGTTCCCGTAATGACTTAATTAGTATTGCTGTTTACACTCCAAGTTCAACTCGACTCAGACTTGTAGAAATTAATTAATAACTCAAAACTGTTTTGCAAATAAAGTAAAATTCTTGCAAAATTAGATTCAGAATTAAATTCTACAACTAATTCTGCAAAGATTTTGTTGCTGACATCAATACATAAAAAGTTATAAACAATTAAAGTTTGATTTTGTTAAAATTTAAAATTTTTATCAACTCTCCAAAAAATTCCTCTATAACTTTTGATAAGAGACTGTTATCAACAAAATATTTACATAAGTTCATGAAGAATTTAATCGTGAATATATTTCTGAAGAAATAATTAAAATTACTTAAATAGTTTCTGAGTAATTAACTAAAATCTACAATTTGAAATAAACGGTTAAGTTAAGTCGTTGATGGAATTTAAAATGTTGTTATTATTGCGAAAATACATTTCGTATGAAAATAGCTCCGTCTGCCGTCGTTCTTAATATCGACACGGACAAGACTTCAAGAAGTAAATGCGCGTTGTATTAATGAACGACGCAAGGCGGCGCGCTCCACTTGACAAAGTCGCCAAAGATAATTAATTTTCATCTCGACTTGGCGCGCAGCTCTACGCTACGCGTATTCACGCCAAATCAACAAACAAAATCCACGACGTGAAACATTCTCTATTTCCACTTATTTTTCTCAATATAAACACATTGTATGCTTTAAATTTCTTATTTCGCGCTTGATTCTTGATTAATTTAACTTTGTGTTGACTGTTCAGGTGCGATGAACAATATGCGATGTTTGTTCCGCCGTCGTGACGCGCAAATTAATAAAATTAATTAAACTTCCGCGTCGTTGACGAATTTTCACCATCTTACATATTTAATGCAAGACAAACACTTGCAACTTTCATTATCAGCGTCGTTGAAATATAATTTAAATTAAAAATAAATGTTAGTGTTTGTTGCGTATACTTGGTTGCCTACCTAGTTTGTTAGTTGTTCAAATTAGGTTATGTAAATTTTAGGGAAAAGAGGAAAGCCTACCTTTGCTACATCCGGTGGCCTTGTCGCGCAGTACATTGATCGAATGCACACGACCGTACTCCTCGAACATCTTCTTGAGCTCGTTCTCGTCCATCGTGCGCGGCACTTGCCCGACGAACATCTTAATATTATCGGAATCGGGCTGTTCTTGGTCCAGTAACCCAACGGGCGTTCCATTTCCGCTGCCTATATTTGTTACCATTGCAGTGGGATTCTGTAGGAGACCGTTGGCGGCATTGCCGGTTAACATACAGCCACCGCCACCACCACCGCCGCCACCTACCGCCGTCAGTGAGCCGTTGTTTAACGCGTTGTTGTTCGTCGTTTGATTGTTGTTATTATTGACGTTGTTGTTGTTATTCATCGACGTCATCGTATTGTTATTCAATCCCATACTACTGAAACAAATCCAAAGAAAGTTTTTTTTAATGAAAATGAATCCGGAAGTAAACAATTAGCGAATGGGAAATTAAGGTGTAATGGATTACAACGGAAAACAAGATAAACTCTCGGCGAATAGTGTGAAAAACAAGAAAATTACTGAATTAACGCGGAAATAAAGAACTTGGAAATACCGGGTAAAGAAAACAATGAAAAACAGGAAGTGGAGAGAAGATGAAAGGCGGAAATGTTTGTTATTGGACTTTCCACCGCCGTCAATCGCTTAACTAACCTAATCGCAAACTTGACACAATCCGCCAACTAATTTTCCGGTTTTCCGGTTTAACGAATTCCGGAAAAACAAACAAAACTAATTCCGTCGAATTATTTTATTGTTTTTTTATGTCGTTGTAATTTTTTTGTTTGGATTCTTTTGTTTGTTGGCAAATAAAAAACCCGGAATCGAAAACGTAGCTTTTAATTGGCTGCGCCCGGGGAAAAAATTCGTGGCTCCAACAAAACTATGAGCGCGCAGAGAAACAAAAACTCAGCTCATCGTGCATTGAAAGTAACAGAGCAGCCGGAAAACAGGAAAAAGTTTTTTCCTACAAAAACACTACTGCTATGTAGCTATATGGAGAAAAACAACGTATGTTTTGCGAAGAGTAGAAGGAAGCACTGGTAGAAGCGAAAGAGTAATATGGGTGGTGCATATTGCGAAATTAAAAATTCCTTCCGGGCTACACACGCTCTTCCCGCGCGCATCGCATGATGATGCACGCGCACGCAGACTTTCCGGTTGCCGACTTTCCACGGTTCGTATTAATTGCGAACGCAGAAACGAAAAAACAAAAAATTCACTGCGCGCGCAACTTTAAAACACACAAAAATGCGCAGGGAAGTAAAATAATGTTGAAGCGAGCGGCGAGGGCGCGCGCAAATGAAGAAAAACGCGTTAGTGGCGCGTAGAAAAGACGGATTAAACAACACAAAGGTTCATTTGCTGCATTTTTAATTACAAAAATGCCTTTGATCGCAAATTCTGCAATTTTTTAAAAATTATGTCTGCATGATGCAAAACCCCCAACAAAAAATCTCATATTTCCGGTCACAATCGGTTTTTAATTAAGTTTCATATTCGCTCGCGTCACGTTTATTGCAAATATTTCATTTGTTGCAATAGTTGAGCTTTTAAATTAAATACCTGAGTTTGCAATTGAACAACTGCGCATTTCGGTTAAAATAATCAAATTGAAATTTCATTAAATTTAGGAAAATGTCATTTAATAATGATTGAGCCGTTACATGACACCTAAAAAAATTTTCCAGTATTTTTAAATTAATATTTCACTTGCTGTAACAGTATATTAAGTATCAAGTGACTAAAACCCGTGACTAAACTACTTTAGTCACGGCTTTGGCCGTCCGTGTCTAAAATTTCACTTTTGTGTCTCAAAATTGAGAAAAACTGGCATTTCAAAGATGGAAAAAAAAAGTTTGTTTTTTGTGAATATGTTACAACTTTGTTAACATGTTAAAAAGTTACATTTCCATGTTGATACCCTGCACTCAAATAAAAATTAAATATCATAAAAGCTAAAAAAATTACACGCAATGAAGAATGAAAGAGAATAAAATGCGCAGCGCAAAATGAATAATTAAAAAAAAGAATGCAATAAAACACTTGTATGAATTTCGCTTAAATGTGCACAAAGCGAAATGAATACATGATAAATGAATAAAATGTTCCCGCTCACCAGACAAAGCTTACTGGAAAAAAGAGGGGCGGCGAAGAGGCGGCAAAAAGTAACATTCCATAAAAAGTCCACCGGCGTACAATACCACACAAAGCACTCAAATGACAAAAAAAAACAACAGAGTCATAACCACCCCGAAAATCAACGGATATAAAATAATACATAACAAAACAAGAAAATAAAAGACATAATTATTTTATAATATAACAAAGGAGTAAATAAAAGAGTAGTTTTTGTTGCAGCAGTCGTAATAAAGTCGGAAGTGGAGTCGATAAGAAGATAAGCAAGTTTCAATCGTCGTGCGCAAAGTTTGCAACCAGACACGCGGACCAAGCACGAGTGAGTGAAGTAGCGCATCCATCAACGCGTAAACTAGGCAACCAGACAAACTTTGCGCGCAACTTTTCAAAGTTTTATTATCGCGATAAACTTTTAAGTTGGAAACAAGACAAATTCTATGCGAAAAATGCTAAAGTATTAAAAATTATAAAGTTTTACTAACTTCTACTAACATAAATGGCAAAAATTACAATTATTGATTAACAACTCAGAAACTCTCATCAAAAATCTATTTTTAATTCATTTTAAAAGCAAAAATATCTCGAATTACAATTTTTTACAGATAATTATTTTTATTTGTTTATAACTATTTTCATATTTATTTTAAAAACATGAATTTAAAACTTTTATCTGAGGAATTTAATCAAGAATTTATTCTGAAAATATCATAATTGTAACGTGAATAGTTTCGGAGATATTAATCAATAACTAAAAATATTTCTAAAATTTTGAACTTTTGTAGTTACTCTATGTACTCTATTTTCTGGTGAAATATTTGGCGTCGCATTACATCTGCATACTCTGCCATCTTGTAGCAGTCATGTATAATAAGTTGCATATACGTGCGAGGAGCGTGTAAACGCTCGCAGGCGAAATCGCGCAGGACACATACGGCAACATTGGTCGCAAAGGTTGTAAGAACTAAGAATAGTGTCCCGGCGAAGACCCTTCGCAGCCGCGTGCGGGGGATAATAAAATTTTACGACATTTACGAATAAGAGAGGTGACATTGTAGCTGTGGGCAGCGCGCAGGAATAGAAATAAGGGTCGGTGCTCAAAACAAGTATTCGCTAAACTAAAATCACGCTACAAATCAAAACAAAACAATTACGAAATTATTTTCATTTTATTATTTTTAAACATACTGTATGTTGATATTTTTAACTATATGTGGTTGGTGTTTAATGGTTTGTGTTTGTATCATTCGACATGATTATTGTAGCACTCTGTATGTTTTTGACAGGACTTTTATGTCCTTATATCTTTACATCGTTATACGTTTGAAGTACGTACGGACGATGGGGGAGGCGAGCAGCGGCGAGTGGACGCGCTTTCGAATGTGAAAATTTCCCATGGGTGGCACGTCCGACGACCCTTACCTTCCTGCCTGCCGCCGCTGCCGACGACGACGTTGTCGGCCCGGTTTTTGCCTACTCGCTTTACGCGCGGCGCCCCGGTCGTTCGTCCGTTTTACGAATTTTACTTATTCACCCGCCGAAGCCGAGGGGCGGCGGACGGCAGTTAGCATTGAGTCGAAATTGCGCGCGTCCGACAGCAAAAAAGGACCGAAAAGGACGATGAAACGGGAATTATAAGCGACAAGCGGGCGAAGAGGACACGTGAATTTTGCCCGATGCAACGACAACGACATAACGACAACGAATGTATGCAGAAGCAAGGACCATTTCAAAACAACGTAACTACTCGAAAAGGATAAAAAAGTAATTTAAGCGCTTTGCTCTCAAATGGAGATAGAAGAATAGTTCAATAGGAGTAGTTATTTATAAATTACTCTAAAAATATTTGCATCACATGAAGAATTTTGCTAAAAATCAGTTTTTAATTAATTTCTCCACTGATTTATTTTTATAAAAATGTTGTTATTCCGATTATTGGGTAATCAATTAAAAATAACTAAAATATTAACGAAATTAAACTAAAACATGACCAAAATTAAATGAAAATTTTAACTAAAAAGTATACACTCGATAAAATACCGCATGCAATTAATAAAAAAAAACTTTTAGTAACAAAATATTTACGAAAATTTATTTCATATTTAATAATCATTGAAATATGCTGCATGTTTAGTAATAATTTAATACTTTAACGAGTTAATTTACAGTTGCAATCAGCAACATTTTTTGTATTTTAATTTGGGCTTCATTATCATTCCAATAATTAAAAAATAACCTCAGAAACTTTCAATTAAAATTTTCATTAAGCTTTCCAACCGATTTGTTGATTATTTAATTTTAAAAAAATGTTTATAAACAATAAAAAATCAAATTTACTAAAAATTTCTCTTAAAAAATAATCTTTATCTACCAATAAACAATTGTTATCTCCAAATATTTTATAGACAATAATTTCTGGAACAAAACAAACTTCAAATACTAAAAAATTGATTTTTTATTTAAATCATTCGACAAGCAGCATAATTCACCCCGCAATAAAAAGGATAATTCGCGAGATAATACTCGGGATATTTTATGAATAACTTATGCTAATCGGCTCGCTATCGAGTCTATGCAAGCCGAGTGCAGACAATCCTAAAAACGGGCCCGTTCTTTTTAGGAGGGTTTGCGCCCACCGCCACACCACCTTCCCCGTTTGGCGCGCGCTAACATAAAATCTTATCGCTTATCATTGGCAAGGCTTGCGAGGGACGACGACGACGATCCGTGCTGCCTTTGCATGCGCGCGTTTTCGGCAAGCTTTACGAGTGTATTTCGTATTTATCTATCCGCTATCCGGGGCCGGTTATATTTGATAATCAAATCATCATGAATCTTTTATAATCCCATGCATTTATATAACGTTTTTTATGATTATTACCCTATTTTGCAGCAACATGCGCCAAGAAATTTAAGGGAATATTGTTTGGTTGCTTTGTTTTTGACTTGTAAATTCAAGAAATCACTCTGTATATTTAATTTTTAGATTTAAAACCAAGAAAAGTTATAAAGCATTAATCTATTGATATAAAACCAAGTCGCGTTAGTTACATCACTTATAACTCAAGAACGACTGGACAGATTTTGATGATCTATGATTTATTGCATTAAGCTTTGTCTCGAATAGCAGAATAATTAATAAAATATCAAAAATTATTACTTACAGGGTGTTAAATAAGGTATAAAAGTTGATATGGACATTCTATCATAGTTATATCTAAATAATTGAATCCTAGATGGCGC